TAATTAATATATTTATTTAAATTATTATTTTAAAATAAAAAAATATATTTATACGTGACCTAACGCAATTGAATGAAAACCTTAGTTTCATCGTAACTTTTAATTTAAATACTCTATTTTTTAATTTATAAATTTAATAACTCACTTTTGTTTTAATATGCCCTGCTGATCAGTCTACGTTATCTCTCAAATGCTGTCAGGTGAGGTGACAAGAGGGCGTGGGCCAAGTAAAAATTTGATGGCTTGGCCCTTATAGGGGATTCTTTCGTCTAAAAGAAAACGTGCTGTAAACAAGAATTACAAAATACATATATATATATATATATATATAATGTCTTATTAATTAAAATATTAAGATTTTTTTAAATAAAATTATTAAATATTTTTAATAAAATAATTTTTTTTTTCATTTTTAATAGATTTATTTTAACTTTTTGACTTGTCGGATATAAATTTTAAATAAAAATGTAACATATTATATACATAAATTATTTTTTAATCATTATTCATATAAGTTACTAAATTTTCATTTAAAATTCATGTTTAAAAAATCAAAATAAATCTACTAAAAATAAACAAAGAAAGTAAAAAGTAATTTTATTAAATGTATTTTAATAATTTCAATAAATACAATCTAACCTATAAAACATAAATTTCATTTAATTATAAAGAATAACCTATAAAAAAAATAAATAGACAAAAAACAAAAATGAGTTACATATACGATCACTTAAACTGGCGAATCAAAAAAATACACGATTTAATTCTAATTCTCATGGGTGGAGGATTAAACTTGAAGCAACATATTTTATTTTATTTTATTACTAATGCAAAGAGTCAATACATGGTATCTTTCTTGTTTGGTCTTTAATTCTTCTACAAACTTAATGAAGACGTTTGTAGGTATGGTTATTTTCATTATCAATATTATTAAGGTGATAAAAATTTTTGTTTTTTTAATTGTATTTGAAAATATTAATATGTTAACTAATTTTAATTTATTAACTAATAAATATTAATTATTTTATCAATTATTAACTAATAATTACAGTTATTAACCATTTTTATTAATTAAATTAAATAGAATTATATTTTAAAAATAATATTTTACAATTTTGGTAACCATACATAATTGTACTTGATATCTATCATACAAATATATCTTTCTAACCAATCTATAGCCTTATTTATTATTCTAAGAATAAAAACAAAAGTTATAACAATAAAAACAAAACTATTAGCAAAATATTAAGTAGTTGGTATGTAATTGTGTATAACAAATCTATACTCTAATCTTACTGAGGTTAAACGAAAGTGGAAGCACCAAGTCATCAATTTTTTCTTGGTCCAAGCCATTTCATCACCTCACTTAACGGCATTTGGGGATATAACGGAGAGTGATCAACGGAGCATGTTTAAGCAAAGGTGAGTGACTGCATTTACAAATTTAAAAGAAGAGTGACCAAACTGAAAGTTATGATAAAGATCAGTGACCATTTGTATAGTTTACCCAACAATTTAATTTATATTTAAAAAATATGGTTTAAAAATTATACGATAAATTATCTTAAAACTATATTATTTCAATGAAATTAAGAAGAAAGTGAACATTCATGGGGGCAATCTAGTTGCAACTTGCAACAAATTGATTCCTTAACGTTTAGTTACAAATAGTTAAGAATAGATGTTTATCTAATCCCTTAAAAAGTAGATCAGTTTGGTGAAAATAAAACATGAGTTGTATTCTATAAATACCACAATGATATAGAGATGAAAACACATGATAGAATCCCTTTAGTGAAAACTCTCTTCAGTGCCCAAACACCATTAATTCTATGCACAATTCTCTTCCATTCTTATCTTTTATTGTTATTCCATCTAAGGTTTCAAACTTTCAATGATGTTATTGCATCATCTCAAAGTAACAATGCTATCTAGTGGAAAGACTATAAATATTCTTTTTCAAAGAGGTTAGGGACTAAAAGTCTCAAAATAGAATATCTATAGATGCAAGCATCTTATTTCATAAAGAAATAATAGATGAATTTACCAAAATTGAAGGAGTTAAAGCCAAAGAATAAAGTCCTTATATTTTGAAAAATTATTCTTCTACTTTTACCTTCTTTTAGTTAAATGTCAATTTTAATTTCTAAGCTTTTCATTTTGTTTACACCTAATTTTACAACAAATGAAGTGTTGCCACGTGTCACCCATGATGGTAGATATTTTAGTAGTTGAAAGTTGGTGTGGATTTCTTCAGATGAGATTGAGTGGTTATTTCCCCAACGGCAGCAAAACCGTTCTTTTGTTGCGAGCTTCCCGGAGGATAATTGCAGCACCAACAAATTAATCAATTTGTTGCAGATATTATGCTGCCG